AGATGTCTCAGGGTGGGTGGCTGCTGGCTCTGATCAAGTCAGGGGTCACGGCCTGGTGGATTTAGCGGTGATTTTGCTTGTAAGCGTGCGAAGGATGTCATCCATATTGAAGGAGGGCTGGTAAATGCTTTCGGACCCCTGCGTATCGCGCAATGGGCCTGTGATTTTGTTTGGCGACGCCCCGTCTAACCACCTGTGTTAGTTCTGGGACATATTGAAGGAAGGCCAAGCTAACGGAAAAGAAGTTAGTACCTCTAGAGCATAACCCCATTGGATGGCTGCTAACCAGCGCAACCTGGTTGCGGGACCGCGGGGTAAGAGTTTAAGGGGAGTTACCCGCCCCAGGGAAATTACTCCGTGGGATAGTGAAGGTTGAGATTTTAGGAGGTCCTAATTGAGTGCTTATCAGGAGAAACCCTATCGTTGCGTAATCAACGAGGGTACTGCCGTTAAATAACAATGCGGTGGGCCATAGTCCTGGTCCGATCAACCAGGCTATGGTGGGCCAAGATGGAGACCTGGCCTTTCTGTACTAGACTGCAGAAACAGCGGAGTGGATATTAAGTTTACACATATACTTATATGAATTTGATTGCGAGAGATTTTGAGAAGGAAGGCGAGAGTGTCTTCAAAGGTCTCGGTTAAGGCCCGCGTCCCTAGTTTTTGCCAGGACTAGGGACACCCAACGAGAAGCTGAAGGTTGTCTAGGACCGGGGAGAGGACGATTGGGAAGGTCTTTGGAACTTATGTTGTCAGCATCCTAATTTCTGGGTAGTGAGAGACCTGGGTTCGAAACCTGGCAGCATATAGTTGGGGAGGCATGGTTGGATGGAGGCCTCTACCCTGTGTTTGTCGGCTAATCGGATTGGCTCACTTCTTTTGTCAGCATTTGGAGTGTGAATGGATTTATAGCTTTCAAATTTGGCGAAGCGACAGGGACGTCGCTTAATATGGTCCGGTAAGCTGTCGGTGTGAATACCCTTACAAGGGTATCCGCCCTGGTTTTTGCAAGTGACAGAAAATAGTTTTGGTTTAGAATTTAAGTATACCCCGCTAAGCACGGTTGCGTCAGTAATTGCTTTGACTGGGTGGTTGACCGCAATAGTGAGTGCGTGGGCGCGCAGGTTTAAGGCGCGCGTGATTCTTTTTCTGTTACTTAATCGTAAAGCCGGCCCGGACCTCGGTCGTTTCGTTTGGTGATATTATTATTTTTTATTAAGCAGGGATTAAGGATATTTTCTTTTTGATTAGTAGGTCAAGCGCGTGTGCGGAGAAACGACCCCGACGACGGCATCGGCAATAACAGCGCGATTTCGTGCGGTAAGCGGGGTGTCGTAGGATGGCGCGCGGGGTAGTTATGGCATGGTATAAGCAAACCGGCGCGGGCAAATGGGAGCCGCGCAGCCGTTTGGTTGGCCCAAAAGCGTCGCGCCACACTGCCTATATGGTATTCTGCTGGACTCAGCCCCAGGCTTGGGCTTAGCCCTTAAGGTTACGGCATCGGACTATTACTACGGAGGTTCGGGGATCGAGGCCGGCGGGCGTCGGCCCGAAAGCAGCAAAGCGGCGCGGAGGAGACCGAGGGGTTTAGGGCCCGACGGGGCTTTCCCCCTCGGATTTTTGCTGGCGAGAGCGGCGGCGGGCCTGCCCCTCGGGACTAGTAAGGTATCAGCAGCCCCGCTGATCCTCACCACTATTAAGTTATTTGTATATATATATATATATATATATATATATTTTTTTTTTTTTT